GCAAACAGCCATCAGCCCCTCACCCAGGCTGGCCAAACCTCCATGGGGTGAGGGTCCCCATGGGGGGGGGGGGTCTTGACCAGACTGCAAACAGCCATCAGCCCTTCACCCAGGCTGGCCAGGCACAACAGTGGGGACCCCCACCCTGAATGGGGTGTGACCAGCCTGCAAACAGCCATCAGCCCCTCACCCAGGCTGGCCAGGCACTCCTATATAATAAAAGGGTAATATGCAAATTGACCCCAATAGCAGAACGACTAGAAATGACCAGTCACTATGACACACACTGACCACCAGGGGGCAGATGCTCAATGCAGGAGCTGTCCCCTGGTAGTCAGTGCACTCCCATAAGGGGAGCTCTGCTCAGCCACAAGCCAGGCTGATGGCTGCCAGTACAGCGGTGGTGGCGGGAGCCTCTCCCGCCTCCTCAGCAACACTAAGGCTATCCGACTGCAGCTTAGATCTGCTCCATGCTGGTAAGTGGACATCCCTCGAGGGCTGCCGGTCTGCCAGAGGGATGTCTGACTGCCAGCTTGGGCCCAATCCCCCAGGGAGCGGGCCTAAGCCAGCAGGTGGACATCCTTCGAGGGGCCCCAGACTTCAAGAGGGAATAGGCCGGGCTGAGGCGCCCCCCTTCCCTGAGTGCATAAATTTTTGTGCACCGAGCCTCTAGTAAATAAATAAGAAAAGAAAAACATAGGTATATTCCACAGACTGCTTTCCTGGTTAAACTTTTCCCAGTAGAATGCAGTTTTCTGGTGATAATGCTTAAACTTTCTATATCTCTCAAGATAATATTTTCTGGCCCATGATTACACAAGAAAAGTTTATACCTTGAGCTAAATACATGATTTCAAATAAGAACAATGTATAGAAAAAGTGCCCCAAGTGAAAACAAAGGAAAGCATGTGTCTCAGATATTGCTGGTGCTGAGAGGTCATCATAACATCACACTCAATGTCAGTCATTCCTTCCTATTGTGTGCTCATCCTGAACTTGTTTCCTTGGTACCTTCTACATTTTGCCAAAAGCAAAGGTTATTTTCTACAATGAGTCAGTCCTCCAAAAGTTGAGGGAGTAAAAAGAAAATCTCAGAAATGTAAGCAATGGAGTAGAAATATGACTTCTTACCAAACAACTGCTAACAACTATGTTTATTTTGCAGTCAATAGGAAGCAATGTTTTAAGTATTTTATATTTTAACACTAGAGGCCCAGTGCACGAAATTCGTGCATGGGGGTGGGGGGGTCCCTCAGCCCAGCCTGCACCCTCTCCAATCCAGGACCCCTTGGGGGATGTCCAACTGCCTCTCGCAATCCGGGACCATTGGCTCCTAACAGCTTGCTTGCCTGCCTGCCTGATCACCCCTAACCACCTCTGCCTGCCTGATCACCCCTAACCACCTCTGAAAACGGCCCTCAGCCCCTCACCCAGGTTGGCCAGGCACCCAAGCGGGACCCCCACCCTGATCCAGGACACCCTTCAGGGCAAACCAGCCGGCCTTCACCCTTGCACCAGGCCTCTATCCTATATAATAAAATGGTAATATGCAAATTGACCCTCAAAGCAGAACAACTGGGAATGACTGGTCACTATGACACACACTGACCACCAGGGGGCAGACGCTCAATGCAGAAGATGCCCCCTGGTGGTCAGTGCACTCCCACAGGGGGAAGTCTGCTCAGTCACAAGCCAGGCTGATGGCTGCCAGCACAGCGGTGGTGGAGGGAGCCTCTCCCGCCTCCTCAGCAGTGCTAAGGATGTCCGACTGCAGCTTAGGCCTGCTCCCCGCTGGCAAGTAGACACCCCCGAGGGGTCCCAGACTGCAAGAGGGCACAGGCCGGGTGTGCACAAATTTTTGTTCACTGGGCCTCTAGTAAGAGATATATTTAGATATTGTTATGCCACATGACTTGAGCTAAGCATTTTATAAGAATTGTCTGATGTAATTTTTAGAAAAGTTCATTCTCTATTCCCCATTGCAGGAATAGGGCTCAAATGAGATTACTGATCTGCTCAGAGATCAAACTGATAAGAGATGGGGTTTTGATTGGAATTCTGTCTGTATACCTCTAGCTTTCACTGTGAACAGCGATTCTCAACCAGAGATGACTGTGCCTCAGGGGCTATTTGGCAATGTTTGATGAATGCTGCTGGACACCAACAATGCCCAACACACGTAATATCCTGCCTCAATTGATAGCATGAGAAGGTGACAACACCTAGTTTAGACAAGCACTTCTCCAACTTCACTGTGCATACAAGTCACCCAGGAGTCTAGTTCAAATGCAGAATCTGAATTATCAGGTCCCCGTGGGCTTGAGATTCTGAAAATCACACAATCACCCCTGTGATGTTGATGCTGCAGGTCCTGGTCTGAGGTCCTCCCTTTGAGTAGAAGTCTGTGGTTCTCTGTTAGTGTCAGGTGCAGGTAGTTTTAGATTTTCTGAACAAAAAATCATAGTTGCATGTAATTATTTTTAATAGGGTATTCAATAATTTGAGAGGCTGTTATTAATTAATTGTTCATTTACTTTGTTTAAGGATTCTTGAAGAATATAATCTGATATATGTAAGGTCTGAGGCTGGGAAAATAGGGACTTCCCCAATCCCACCTGCTGAGTTGGACAATAGCGGTCCCCTGGACCTACCAGAACGACCAAGTCACAGCTGTGTTAACATCCTGCTGGACAATAATGGCCACCCGGGACTTCTCAGAATGGCCATGGTGCAGCTGTACAAACTTCCCGCTCAAAAAATCACCCGCCACAAGCTACCGTGAACAAACCTGATTGGTCCGACAGCAACATAAATAAACTCTGCCAGGCATAGGCGGGTGTGACTCCCCGGCCTGTGCTCTCGGACCACTGGACCTCACCCGAAAGCTTTCAATAAACTTGATCTTTTGCTCTTACCCTATTTGTCTTGGTCAACTTATTGGCTTCGGTCAGATTAAATCTTACATCTCAGATTAAACCTTACAATATACTCCTGAAAATGCCTCCTTTAATTCTTTTATATAAAGGTCCTTGAGAGACCAAGTAATATATTACTGAAAAAGATTTTATAGTAGGCAGGATAAGCACCTCCAAAACATGCTAGCATTCTAGCCCCAGAAAATTGTAATATGTCATTTTTCATAGCACAGGACAGTTAAGGTAGTAAATGAGATGTTTGCTTATCAGCTGACTAAGATAAAATTGGCCAGACATCAAAAGCAAAAATAAACAAAAGACAGGAGTGGGTGGGCGGGTGAGAAAAGACCAACCAATGAACTTGTATGCATAGATGCATAACCCATGGACACAGACAAATGGGGGGTGGAGGCCTGGGGACGGGGATAGGGGAAATCTAGAAGGGGTCAATCAAGGGGGGGGTGGGGGGAAATGGGACATATGTAATACTTTCAACAATAAAGGTTTTAAAAAATAAATGGGACTAAATCAAACCAAAAAGCTTTGCACAGCAGCACAAAACAACAGCAAAAACAAAAATACTAACAAGACAAAAAAGCAACCTACTAAATGCAAGAAGATATTTCCAAATGATAGAGCTGGTAAGAGATTAATGTAAAATATAGAAATAACTCATACAACTCAACATAAAAAACAAACAATTCAGTTAAAAAATGGACAGCTACAGAAGAGACCCTATGCCCCTTTTCCCTGAAAGAATTCAGAGTCAAAAATCCATAAGGGGCCCTAACCGGTTTGGCTCAGTGGATAGAGCATTGGCCTGCGGACTCAAGGATCCCATGTTCGATTCCGGCCAAGCGCATGTACCTTGGTTGCGGGCACATCCCCAGTAGGGAGTGTGCAGGAGGCAGCTGATCGATGTTTCTCTCTCATCGATGTTTCTAACTCTCTATACCTATCCCTTCCTCTCTGTAACAAAAACAATAAAATATATTTTTTAAAAATCCATAAGGGGAAAATATAACAGGACAGGAAAAATACAGTTCAACAACAAGACACCTTCCATATAAAACTAATTTCACAGATATGAAATGATAATACTAAATAAGAGGGGGAAGGACATATAGTAAGAGTAGGACTACAGTTGTTTAATGATTATTCACCTACTAACTACAGATAAGAGGTTTTCTTACAGACCCTGGGAAACAGAAGGACATGTTACAAGGAGATCAGGTCCTGGAGAAAAGGTATCCTGGGGCCCAGATCAGGGATGGAATCTATCTGAAGGGAGAGAGCATTCCAGGGCTAATATTTGCAAGGACAATGAAAGAAGGCAGACCCTGGGAATTCACTAGCTTTAGATTTTTCCCCACCCACTAACTCTATATAAGAGTTTGTTTAAA